TCGTGTTTGGAATTAGCGGTTGACGTTGATGTCACTCACGATGACGGATCCGTCCCGCTGAGCAAGAATCGCGAAATTCCAATGAGGACGCTGTGGTCCTTAGGTGGTTTTTGCATGGCATGGCAGACATCTCGCCGAGGGTCTTTTCCTGATCGCCGGCGCCTATCATCTTGTCAGGGGCCACTGAACTCCGCTGTTCCGCGTCTTGCCAGTTTTATTGCTGATTACTTGAGTACGCACGGAGAGAAAAACTTCGTGCGTGGGACTCGAAGTTGAGGTCATATGGATCTCTAGAGTTTTCGGATCACGTATCTAAAAACTTGAGTTCGAGCTGCCGAAGTTCGGGTCAGACATCGAGGCACTTCGGTATGTGCCGGAGTAGGTACTTCAGATGTGTGACCCGAACCCTTCGGTATATATCGAAGTGCTTCAGATGTCTGACCCGAACTTTAGCAGCTCGACATCGAGGTTTTAGATACGTGATCCGAAAACTTCAGAGATCCGTAAGACCTCAACTTCGGGTACCATGAACGAAGTTTTTTCTCCGTGCGGGTCTCCCCCCCCCTCCGTTGGCCCTGCTATTTTTCATATCAGAAATTATAACTAAAAACTTTTATGTAAAAACTTGTGGTCCAGCTGCCGAAGTTCGGGTCAGACATCGAGGCACTTCGGTATGTACTGGAGTACTTCAGATGTGTGACCCGAACCCTTCGGTATATATCGCAGTACTTCAGATGTCTGACCCGAACTTCGGCAGCTGGACCACAAGTTTTTAGATACAAGTTTTTAGTTATAATTTCTGATATGAAAAATAACAGGGGAAAAGGAAGGGGGGGGGAGGACCCGCACGGAGAAAAAAACTTCGTGCGTGGGACCCGAAGTTGAGGTCATATGGATCTCTGAAGTTTTCGGATCACGTATCTAAAAACTCGAGGTCCAGCTGCCGAAGTTCGGATCAGACAAAGTTGAAGATTTTGAAAAATTTCAACGAAGATACACTTTTTTCGATCGTAAACTTATCGATTACTTTTTCATATTTTTATGTCCAGTTGTGTCGCGGAGACAAATTCGAAGAAATGCGGCAACATTGGAATGCGATCATAGCTCCCTTCCCTGGAGCGGCAGTTAGCATGCCAATGGCTCATGCGATTAGCTCATTGGAAAATTCGCAGAATGCTTATGCCGACGTCATAAACACGAATTGAACCAACATCTCGTGTGAGCGAAGATACCATCCAAAATGGATACCTTCCTCTACACACACCCACTAATCGCGAATTGAAACTGCTCTGAATGATGGAGAAATTTTCCTCCCGTACTGCTGTGCTAAGGGAGAAAACCGTATGAACATGTGAGAGTTGCCCAATTTCCCTGCATGAAACATGTATTATCGACAGCATTCATGCATATTTTCCCTTGAAATTTTAAAATATTTTATATTACCTAAATTGCGCACAAAATTGCCTGAAAATTTTGGAAAATAATATTCACAATTTTCCCAGTAAATTCGGTTTTTATCGGAAGAAACTTGGCAAAGTCTGAAGGTTCATACGGCGTTCTTCCTTAGGACGACAGTATAACCCACGAGTGTTACAGCTTTTTTCCTGCTTAAATTTGCATGAAGTAATACTTTTATAGACGAGGCAAAACTATAGGTTCAGAGCAAAATGGTCAGTTTTAATTACTTGGTGCCATGTGGCTGTGTGCGGATTATGTATTTTAGCCGGAAAAATTTTGTCGTCAGACTAAACAGTCAGGAAAATTGGACCACCCTAGTAAAAATTGGCAGTAGAATCTGTGTTCCAAAATACCATAGACCTACAGCCGGCTTTAAGATTTCCAACAGCCTCTATAGCCGGCAACACATTTTCTTATAGCCTTTTATAGCCGATGGTGATTAAGCAACAGCCTGGCGATAAAGTGTATGCTAAACGTTACTAATTACGGATGCTAGAACTTAGTGAGTTTTTGGACTATCGCTTTCTTTTTGGGCCGCAGAAGCTTGATTTAATTTACGAGGAAAGCTCCGTTCTTCTGAAGGATGCCTATGACATTCCTAATATGTTGGAGCGCCTTCAATTTCGTATGATACTGTGCAATACCTCTGGTGTGAAATAGTTGCTTCAAGCGCCGCGGTACGCTGCGGCGCGGCGCAGCGCGTAACGCGCATTGGCGCCTACAAACCTAACAGGGATACTTCACGCATTGCGCAGTGCGTGAAGTATCCCTGTTAGGTTTGTAGGCGCCGGTGCGCCGCCGCTCCGCTTTGTATCAGGCTCTAATATTTAATCACGCGGAGTCGGCGTTTTTCAACTCATGACTTTGAAATGTTTGCACACTCTGTATGGATTACTAGGGGGCCCCGCCCCCTGACCGCTACGCGGCCCAACCTCCGGGAGGGCGCCTCGCGCCCTCAGGCCCGCTTCGCGGGCCCTATATGCATATGTATAGGCAAAAATGTTCTTCCATTTTAATACACCATTTTGTGTTCGAGCTGCATCGATTTCAAAATTTTTGACGTAACACTCAGATTTGTAAATGATGAGGAATAGCTGGATGTACACAATTTCACAGTCCACTTACTGGAGAAATTTCCATTTATTATGTTATTTTTAAATACTTAATTTTAAAAAAAAAA